AAACAGCCACGAAAATCCGACAAACCTCGGAAGAACAAGGCGGATAGCTTTTTTCCAAGATGGCGGCCAAGTTCGGCGGGAAAATGGCTGACCAAACTTGGATCTCGATGAATTTCTATTTGCAACACACTTATGGATATTTCTGCCAAAGTTCAAGTGTCCAGCTGCAAAACAGCCGCGTAAATCTGAGAAACCGCGGAGAAGCAGGACTGGGCTGTTAATTTCCAAAAGGGCGGCCATTAGCCAGGATAAAGATGACCGACTGAACTTGGGTCTCGATAGATTTTTGTTCTCAAAATGTTTATGCGTATTTCTGCCAAATTTCATGCATCTCATTAGCCGCAAAAATATAAGAAACGGCGCTGAACCGCTAATTTTCAAAATGGCGGCCAATAGCAAGGGCAAAATGGCCGACTGGACTCAAATGTCAATTTTTCCTCATTCTAGACACACTCAAGTATACAACCTGCCAAATTTCATGTCAATAGGTAAGTTAGAACGCCTGAAATATGAGATAATAATGGAAATCAGCTTATAGCAGCCATCTTGGCAAATGGCGGCCAAAATACGGGGAACCATGAGAGATCCAGCTTGGGTCCCGACGGATTTTCATTCTAGGTACCTTAAACTACATTTTCACCAAGTTTCATGCTGGTAGCCTAATTCGAAATATTTCGGTGATATTTGACCCTAAGCCAACCGACTATATCCTATTGAGACACTTTTATAATTGTAGTCAATTATACATACCAAAAGTTTGAGCCCTGAGCTTTTCATATTTCATCAGTTTAACTTAACTTTAGTGCATCTAGAAGAGAAAACAGTTTTATACACTTTAGAGAGAATTTCTGCTGAGAACTAAAAATTTGAAAAATTGCCAAAGTCAGATAATTATTTATTAAACTTACTTTGCAACCAGTTTTGCACCTTCGAGGCTATGCGTCTCTTGCACCAGTTTTACCGCATTTTCCGGATCATTCAGGTGCTCTAAATCCAGCCTGATGACATTGTTGTAATCATGAGCAAGTTCATAGGCACGCACTGCCTTTTCATACTCACCAGCTGACTCTTTGGCCTGAAAAATTTTACATCGAGTCAAAGATAAAAGGTTAATTTAAAAGCTGAACCTAACTTTCAACTTGACCAGTCAAATGTAATGATATTTTATTACTGACCGGTTCTGCAGTTCTATCCTTGTGCGAATCGATGGCCGAAGTGCAAAACCGAGTATGTATGTCCATTTACGACGTTGCGGAGTCTCTCTCATATTTCATGGTTTCCTTGAAAAACTATTCAACGTAATTCACCGAAAATTTGCTGGATTTTTCGTCTTCATTACCAGAATATTCTATAAAAATTTCATGTTTTAGAGTTGGATTGTTCTCCCTCAAAAAATTAAAATAGTCGCGGACATTTATAAACACCGCACTTAAGATACGTTGCTCCGCACTTTAGCCATCGAAATACTGAATCAAAAATACTTGAGACAAACTCCACTGTTAAATTAAAAAAAGAGAGAAAGTCTTGCTTTTGCACACATGTTGTTTATTAAAAGTTTAGTGGATGTACATTTCGAACATCAGTCCATCCTCAGCACTTAAAGACAAAATTACACAGTAAAAACACAGGTAGTAGATGGAATATCACAATGCATTACAATTAAAACAGGAACAATTGAGGACATTGCACCAAGAACAACCTATAACTGGAAACCGCGTTTTGAGAAAAACGCATTTAAAGTTTTGTTTTTGATGTACTGCGCAGACTTTTCTATGCAGGTACCCTGTTTTGGTGTTTTTGGGTGACCTAACCCTTCTACTGAAGGATGCCGGGTAGATTTTGCGATACATTTTGGGTTTACACTCTAATATAGTTAATTTAAAAAAGCGGTTTATAGGTCGTTATTACGTCCAACAGTCATTTTGGTGGCAATATGCAGTATAAATCATTTTAATCACGCGTGATTAACGCAAAATAAAAGAATATCGATGAAGAGTATAGAGAGGGGTAACTAGCACATTATAGACCCTTAAATTTATAGGCCCGTATTACGCCCAACAGTCATTTTGGTGGCAAAATGCGAAGTATACATTTTTGGAGGAAAGGATAGTTTGAGAGGAGAATAAATTATTTCAATAGCTCGTTTTTCTGAAATAAAAACAAATCTTTATAAAATGAGATCAAAAAATCGAGCCATCACTATCGCCGCGCCGCGCCGATGCCCGCTAACCGAGAATGATAAGGCCGCGCGTATAGGTCGTTCTTGCACCCATCGATCCAGAGGCCTGACTTGCCTCGGAAAAAAAAGGTTTTTCGACCTCGAGACGTTACCTATCTATATTCTATCGCTACCACAGCATAGTCCAGGGTACGTAGAATCCGAAAAGCAGATTGGCGTAATAACGACACGCCTATAGGTTGTTCTTGGTGCGGTGTCCTCAATTGAGCAAGTGAAAAGGTAAAAAGCAAAAAAGTGCGTAATTATTAAATAAATAACTAATCGAGTTAATATCAAAACATAAACACGGCCTGATTAGCTGAACTGATTATACAAACACAACCAATAGATGGCAGCACCCATATGGGAAAAAATCAAATTTATAGATGTTGCCAAGTTTGAAGCTTAAAGGTTGTTTGAAGGTTGAAACTTTAAGCATAAATCAGTCAAAGAAGAAGCACTATTCATAATGTTCACTTCCATACTTAGCAAAGTTTCCCCTCAAGTGGAAGCCCATCTAATTTCAATAATTTCAAAAGCCTTTAGAGTATCATTATCAGTACTTTCATGCAAGATTTTTAAATTATTCACTAAACTAGAAATTTTGTGATCTTCATTTATACAGTGCTGAATTACACTAGAATTAGTATCTCTTTTATGTTCATTAAAACGTTTCCTAAAATTCCTGGCAGTGCAGCCTATATAGTTGCTATCACAATTATCACAATGTATACTACAAACATCTGAAAAATTAAAAGGGTTATCACTTGGAGGTTGATTTCGCTTCTATGGCTGGATAAATTTTTCTAGAGTATTGTTCGTTCTGAAATCCAGCTTAATAATATGCTTTCTAAAAATGTTACTTACTATATTACTGAAGCTATTGAAATATGTTAAAGCTCTATACCTTTCTTTTTCTCTTTTAGAGGTTTCATTATTATTTTCCCCAGTTTGGTTTCTAGAAGCTCCGTATTTATCTAAGAGCCTATTAATTTCCACTAAAGTATAACCATTATGCACAGCAATTTGCCTGATGATATTAATTTCATGGTTAAAATTAGAAACAGACATTGGGGGCGTCTTAGGACACAGTTCCCACCCCGGTTACTGTAAACCTTATCGTTGACTGTAAATTGGCCATTAATATCCAAGTTAACACCGGCCTCAACCCACTCTACTCTCTCTACCAATGAGCATTGTTTGCTCACGTGAAGGGAGTCCAACTACCCAGCAAAGCTGGAGACAACTTAATGTTTAAGCCCATAATAATAATAATAATAAGTAAGTAGATTCGAAACAGTGTAAACCAGAGGAAAGGTAGCATTAGTAGTATTAGCATTCTTATCGACTTTCTAATTTATTTATTTATGAATTTTTTTTTCTTTTTTTTTAAATGTAGTAACTCACCAGTGATAGGAACAACGCCTCCAACCACCTGGGTTATTATTCCCCCCCCCCCTACCACTCAGTGGCGTGTAAATATGTAAAACGTATACATGTGTCAGATTTGCTACCCCTCTGTCCCCTCATTGAGCGCTCTTCCCCCTCCCCCACCCATGAATGCTAAGGCCTATTGTTTAGGCCTGCGATAAGGTGTACCTGATTTGTACCTCAATGTAAAAGTTAAGTAAATAAAGGATAAAAAAAAAATAAAAAAAATGAATAAATACATGAAACTGATCGCTGGATGAAAATAAATGAAGTAAAATAATAAATAAAATAGGATCAAGAAGTGTTAAGTGAAAAATGAAGTTGAAAAGTAAAGTGATTAATACGATGTAAGAAAAAATAAATTGAAAAAAAAAAACAACAAATAAAACACAAACTCATTTATAACAATTATAGAAGGCAAATGTAATCGTTTGAGAATAAAAAAAAATAAATTGAAAAAAAAGACACTAGATCATTTAAAACAGTTATACATGAGCCAAGCAAAGGTGATCATATCCGTTTGATGGTGCTACCTTAAGACAGCTTGCCTTATCAGCCTCAAAGTCACCCGGAAAGTAGGTGAATGGAAGTGCAGGCAAACCCTTTACCTAACTGAGAGGATATGAGCAGCATCCTCCCAACAGCTAGGATATAGGGTCAATTTGACATAACTTTTTGGACATAACAAGTAAAAAAAGTTTCGGGCACCCAGAGGCTAAATAAAGATTCACGGTTTAGAGGAGAGAGGAAAAATTGAGGTACCTTTGCATACATGATGTAAATTTTGGCACTTGATATTCGGGATAGGAATGCTTCGATTTTATCCCATTGCTTTAAATTTGCTAAACAAATGGCAGCCTTGTCAAAGTTGTCAGCTGCTTCATACAAGATTGCAGCATACTGGTGTTTCTGCAACAATTGGAAAAGTGTGTGGCGAAAATGTGTAATTAAAATCTGTTTAAATCCTTAAATGGATACAATCCGGCATTTGGACCACAATTATGAATTTTTGCAATACTCTGTAAGAAAAGGGGCCTGAATCGGCCCAGAAGCATTGTACATTTTCTGATGAAGCTAAGAAGGACATGAAGCAAATAAGACAGGACATTTTTTTCCCAGAAATGTCTTTAGTCAGGACTTAAAACCAAGAAGGTCAGGATTTGTGATTTAGTTGCCTCAGATTGTTTGATAAATTTAAAGTAGGCATGACATTAAAGTATGTATGACAAAACAATTTTTGCACTAAAATTGCATTTAGTTACTTGCATTTTAGTTCACTAAAGTAATAATTGTTTCAGTTGCAAAAAGTTATTCATTTTTGGTAAATTGCAGTTGTTATTAATCTTAAATTTAACCCATTTTCACAAATACGTTTTAAATGTAGCATAGTTGTGTCTGCTACCCAGAAAAACAGGTCGAAATACGGCTGAATTTAAACGCTCTAAATCACGGTTACCGCCAATCGTTATGACATTAGGAATTCCCCACCAATACAGGTGTAACACCATTAATCTACCATGAATGGAGGACCCCCAAAAAGTGCCTTTAATGCAGAGCAGAGTCATGAAAATGCGAAACGCTGGTCACTGAGTGGCTATTTTTTCTGGAATGGCTAACAAAAAACCAGTCACCTTGACTAGCCTCGCGCTGAGCCGCTGGACAAACAAATTTCCACAACTCCTACTTATAGTTTGTCCTTGTAATTTTAAAAACTTTGGAGTAGTTAAACTGGTCGAAGAATTAAAATCAATTACTGCTATCTTATTTTTAAAATAAACTTAATAGCTGGGACCATAAAGCCGAAAGTTTCCCCCTCTGATAGCTGCATCACAGTTCCCTTGCACGGCCGTGAAGTAGGCTAAGGGCCAGGCAAAGAGAAAACAAGAGTCCGGACGTGAATTGCGGAGCGAGTGGCACCCCCTACTTTAGACGAGTCGTCTCTGATTGGCTGATTCGCCTGGTGCCCACCTTCTGGAGCCCTTATGGAAAATAACACGGGGTTCATTTTCCATCGAAAATATCTCGAAAACAAGGAAAAATTTATACGTCGGAAATTCCAGAAATCGATTCTCCAGATTTTTCTGAAGAGATTGATGGGTAAAACATGACACTCTTTTCTCAAACACACGGAACAGCTCGACTTGGAATTTTTTTTTTTTCAACTTGAAATATGGCACCCTCCAATTGTTTACTGACACCGGGTCAGCTGATAATGGGCACCAGCAGTTCTCGATCTGAAATTTGACAAATTTTCAATCTAAAATCATCTTTTGTGACTTAAGATGGTTTTTTGTCTTTCAATCAGTATTGTCTTAATACCTTTTCACTTCAGTTTCTAAAGTTTATCGCGTTTCTTCATTGTTCCTTTCGCTCTTAATGGTTGAAGCTGAAGCCAAGAAGCCAAGAAGCCAAGAGTTTACCCTTTTTTTGCGTGCCGATAAATGCAACCCTTATTTAAAGCTCTGAGTTAGACCAAGAAAAACAGAAGACACACCTGAACTCACATGATTAATTTTGCTCCCTATAATATCCTTAGAGGAACGGTAAAGGATAACCGGCCGCCATTCTGAAACAGTATGAGATAATGACTTTGGGTTTGCGCAAAGTCTTTTCTTTTTTACATGCTTTGTCGAACGAAATATCTATAGAGGGGAGGGTATTTCTAGATACATTTGAAAAGAAAAAACTTGAGTCTGTTTCTCCACAAGGGGGTCCCCAAAAATTTTGGGAGGGGGGGGCAAAATGTAACTGGTTGCATTTATCGGCACGCAAAAAGAAGGGTAATTTCACGGAAAAAGTATGTTTATCACGAAATCGAAAATGAATGTCACAGTAATTGTAATAATTCACGCAACTAAAAAAGAATTTACGCAATGGAAAAAATGTTGCACGAAAGATCAAAGTTGTGAACAGAAAAAAAAATACGTACACGAAAAATGAAGTGAAGAACAGGAAAATATATCGGAACTCATACGCAAATTTAAAGTGCAGGAGCGGTAATGAGAAGTCTTAAAGTTCATTAAAAATTCATAAAAACGTATTGTTCGTCGTATTGTTAAAATTATGTTTTTAAAAGAAATATACTAAAAATGAAGCGTCTTAACCTTGAACCAACAGAGCTTGCTTGGCTTTTGCGGGCTGCCCTCTCTTTCCCTTCTGGCCCAACAGAATTGTTTTGGCCTCTGGTGGTGAATTCACTAATTTCAGCCGGATTTGCATTCCCAATGTATGTTTACAAATGCAATCGAAGTCATTAGTATCCTGTTCATTAATCGAGATGGTCCAAATGCTGTAGTGGCTCTGCTTAAATTGGTCGAATGTCTTCCACTTACCGGCCACGGCTTTAAATTGGTTAGACGTTTTTGAGTGATATTCTCAGACATAGTGGAGGAGGCCGTGAAAAACAGTGACCTATCTTTAACTGACTGTTTTAATACCTTCTTATTCATAGAGGCCCATTGGTATGCAGACGTCCATTCCTTCAGTGAAGCAGTCGGTCGCTCAGCGAAGGAGATGCCGTTCACTGATGCAGCATTTCTGGCCTCCGACCATTTTACTACCAGGTCATTTGCACTATTCAAAAATTGGCCAACAGGCAAACTCTCTCTGAACGTGTGCTCTCGTTTTATGACTGCATTTGTTCCTTCCAATCGGTTGTTGGTGGATGGGAACCCCACTGCAGCTACTTCATACCATTTTGAATATTTCTTAAGCCATTGTGTTTCGAAATAAACCGCGAATTCTGTCACTTTTTCGTCTCCCGTTGAGGTCCACTTCTTCATAAACAACTCTGATGCTTTTTCAAATGCGATGTCATTTTGGCACAGCTGTAGAGCGCGAATGTCATCTTTCAAATCACTGTATCTCTTACCTTTGGTTAGAACTTCAAGTTGTTTTTCAATATTTTCCGATACGTGGAAAAAGCACATAATACGAATACGCGGAACACCGAACACGCGCTGAAACCTGCTTGTTATTGCGTCACTAGCATCAGCCAACAATACAGAAGGTTTCCACTCTATATCAAAACCGTGTAGGGCTTTAAAAGTGAATTCAAAGTCCTCCATTTTTTCACTTTTACAGACGGCTAATGCAAACGGATGAGATACATTATTTTTGTCACTCGTTCCGACAACCATCACAGGATACCTTTGCCAATTTAATTTGTACGTCGAATCAATTTGGACCATTTCAGATTTTTTCATTAAACTCAACAGCCTCAACGTTGAGATTAAAATTTTTAAATCTTGCTCATCAACATTGTGTGATTCAGCATGAACATGATATGACAAAACGAATGGTTTGTCCACATCGTCCGGCTTTTGTGCTCGATCATCACACCAATCTGTAATTTCTTTCGCCGAAACTGTGGGACTTCCATACTTTATTTCCGGCAACGTTTTCAAGTAAGTTACTATTCTACCTTTGGGTGGTTCCGGCAGCTTCTTTTGCCTAATCACCGCTAAAATTGCATTAGGTTTCTGTATCCCTTCACTAAATTTTTCTTTTATAAACAGTTTCATATCAGTTGATAAGACTCTGTTAGGCTCTGAAACATGATTCTCATGCTCACATCCATTTCGGTAGAATGATACACCAGAATCCGTCGAATGATACAGTAAATACAAGCCCGCAGGACATTCTTTGACTCTATACTGCCCGGCTGTACAACGGAACTGAACTCTTGATCCCGCTGCAGTTGTAGTTGAAGAACATTTTTTCCATATTGTTTTAGCAGCCACTGCTTCCTCTGCCTCAACTGAGGACTGAAACTCCTCTTTTTTGATCCATGAACTGTATGTTTTTCGTCTTTTACGTTCTGGTTCACACAAATCACTTTCGTTTGATTCACTGACACTTTGAAAGTCTTCGACGTACGACACTGCTTCCATTATAAAACTCACGAAACGTGGCACACGATGAAAATTCCACGGTCGGTCAACTGCGTGATCACAACTGACTATTGCACTTGCTCCAGCATACCTGGTACACTGCAAGCGACCGGCGGCAGCTCGCCGGCCAGATAACATTCTGCGACAACAGGCCAGTAGATAACATCCTGCGATGAGATATCAACATTCATTACCCTTCCTCAGACCGGCTGCCTGCGTACCGACTGTCCCATGTCTTTGTTCTTAATTAGCCGTTGAGCCGTATCAAATTCAGAGTTAGTGGGCTTATATGTATTTATTTACAGTTCATTTGATTTATTTTTTCGTTTCAACTTGCAGCAGAATTCTGTGGTATCAAATTAAAATGTCGTGCGAATAATACCGCGCAGTTCAATAAATTTTGCGTGCATTCAGACGATTTTTGTAAAAAAAAATTGCGTGCAAACCTCTTTTTTTTTGCGTGTGCTTTATTATTCCCCAAATGTAACTCCCTTTAACCTTTGAACATCCCCCCAGTTTAAAATCTTCACCTTAATTACATAAACAAATAGAGGGGGGGGGGGCTTTAAGGACACTCTGCATGGAAACTCCAGGGTGTGACATTCTGATGTTATGGTGAGTTACGGTCTAGATCCGCACTTGCTCCACAAGGACCAATACTTCTTTGTTGATAGCTATCGGCAAATAAAGACATGGTGACCAGTTTTTCCGGCAGCGGGTTTCCCTGGCTCTGCCAAGCAGAAAAGATAGTGTCTATGGGTTCACCACAGAACTACCTGATCATCAAGTATGTATGGTGGATGCAACAGAGAGAAAGCACTAGGACCGCAGCTATCTGTAGTATTACTATTTAACAAGGTGGAGAAATGGTGCTGGGTCCACACCATTTCGCGGGGAAACAAAGCCAAGAAATACCAAAAATTAAAATTAGAGTCAAAAATAAATTTTTAGAACTCTAATGCGCACCAGTATGATACCATACTGGTGATATACCAGTGACCATACCATACCTATGATACCATACTGGTGCGCATTAGAGTTCTAAAAATTTATTTTTGACTCTAATTTTAATTTTTGGTATTTCTTGGATTTGTTTCCCAGCGAAATGGTGTGGACCCAGCACCATTTCTCCACCTTGTTAAATACAGTTTTGGGCCACTTTTTAGTGTTTAATTTTTTAATTACTATTTAACTACGGTAACATTATATTCTGTTTATTCGTGTGAGTCCTTGTCGTATTAGGAATGCATGTCAAAGAAAACAGTAGTAGCGTAGAGGTTGAGATAAAATCACACAAGGAAGATCAAAAAAATTACATCACATGTTAGATCCATCATCATAAATATGAGTTCAGTTGTAAATGGTACCAACAGAGAAAAATAAATAACCACCAACTTTCACACTCAGTTTCTCTCTGTTTCCCTCTCTTGAAGTATGAAATCAAATGAGAAGTTGACATACCTTTGCAGCTTCTAAAATTTCAGCACAGTCCATCTTAAGAGATCTGTTTGACATTGAGCTCATTGCAATGCGAAAACCGAGTTCAAAGTTTCCAACTCTAATCGCTGTTCTAGCTATACCTTCATTGCATTTTTCCGTGTGATCAAAGGATTTGGAGAAACTGCCGTACTTCTTCAAGTCAAAATCACAATTGAAATCGGATAGTGCTTTCTCATAATATGACAACGCCTGCACATATTGCCCACTAAAATGAAACGACCAAAATTAAACTAGATATACCTCGTAAATTAAGCCATTTGGGCTAGCAAGAAAGTAGTGAACGAAAGGGGAATGCTTTCAGGACCATACCTAAATTACTTCAACACTGAATAAGGGAGAGGGAAGGTGGTTGGAGGCTGTGTGATGGTTGCAAGACAAGGGGCATAGAGGGTCATAGTGTCACCCGCCATAATTTAAAAGTGGAGATCTTTAGTAAAAAGCCATTAAAATTTCTTTCACACATAGTTATTCTGACACATTTGTCATGTGTTCTTTCAATCAGACATTTCCGAAACTGGGAATGAGTCAGGGCATGAAGTGCAGAGGTGGAGAGTGACCACGGGGGAACTCTCTCTACTTCAAAAGAAATTTTACTTTAATTCATGACATAATTCACTTATTGAAATTTTTGCAAATCCAACGAAATTAAATAATTTACTAGTTATACATTGTAATTTAAGTTTATTTAAATGCAAAAAAATACTTACGAAAATTCTAGTTGAAAAGCATACTCTTTCGAAATGAATGGCAACATTTCTGGTGCTAGAGTGTTGGCAAGTTGTAAAGCTGAATCCCAATGTAAAATATCTATGCGCATGTCAAGTGCAGCTGTAGGTTCATCTGAATTTAAAAAATACTCCTAGAAAAGATGATCATGAAATATATAAAGTTACCGTACTGGGATATCATCCACACACTTTACAAAAAAACTTATGATGCAATTTCCTTTGAACTTGGCAAGAATGAAGCTAAGAAGCATTCGAGCATGTCCAAAAACTCAATTTAGAAAAGTTGTCACCTTTACCTAAAGCAGAGAAACTTTGTTTCTCCCTATGCTAATGCATGGGAGATACAGGGTTGTTTACACGCACCGCGCTGAACAGGTTGGCGCAACTCCTGTTCAATCGATTTTAGTGGAACTCGAATTGGTAACTAGCGGGGGCGTTTTTCTGACAGGAAACACGAATTTTCGGTCAAGTTTTCAAAATTCCAAGATACAAGAAGGCGGCTGTGGCCTAAAATGCTATCTCGGCTCCTGTTCGACTGACTTTTGTGAAACTCTGCATCAGGGGGTATTCTTTTACCTTTTCTCTCCGCTTTTGGCGAACCTTACATTTGCTTTTTACAGTAATTGGTAATTCAATTGCACCAGCAAAACTTGCAAAGGCCATGGAACTGTTGTAATTCCGAATGTTATCCATGAACTTGGAGCACTCAATTTTTCAAAATAATAGGTTCTCGTGAATTAAGGACACAAACCAACCCGTTATGACAACAGCTATTAAAATGCCCCTGAACTGATTCACCTTTGAAATGGATCTCACCACATTGATGACATTTAGCATTCATAGATCCAAGGTTTGACTCCAAAATAACACTTTCTTTGAATTCAAAATCATATAGCATGTGCTGACTAAATAAAGCTGATTTGGAATATGACGTACAAATGTACCAGACTCCATTTCTGTTGCGTTTGATAATTCTACGTTCTGTTGTATCATGATAAATACGCCCTCGCTTTGCCGCGCGGCCGGAAAAATTCATTTTAACAACTCAAGTAAAATTCAAACAAACTGATTGAACCGTAGTATTGTGGTAAGTACGCCCTCACTTTGCTGAGCGGCCGGAACAACTCATTTCAATAACTGAAGTAAAATTCAGAAGTTGAATTCCAAATCTCTTTTTCTCCTATGATCTAAAACAGCTGACACCGAGTTCTGCGGTATCGTCGATTTATGGCAACGACTCTGACCGAGCGGCAACGGGAGAGATCCCAGCAGAAGGCCCCCTCCCCACCCCGCCTACCAGGAAATCCCGTTTTCAAGGCAGGAAAAATCGGGAACGCGACGCAGAGGAACGCGGATAATTTTCTCGAACTACATTTTTCGCGACACGCTGGCAGATACCACGCCCCTCCCAAAAGGGCCAGCCATCCCCCCGCAATTCTGAATTCAACTTTATACGAGGGTCATCCAAAAAGTAAGGTTCCCTACCCTGTATCTTCCGAGCGAAAAGAGATAAACCAAATCGGTAAAAAATCACATATTAGGCATACTCTAAGCTTTAAAACAAGCTCAAGTTTTTGAAAATCGGTCACAGGATTCACGAGTTAATTTAATTTTACTGAGACAACCTCCCATCGCCAAGTGCCCACCTCCGGGGTTAGGATGCACGGAGAGTCGATTATTGAAGACTCGGGTTATCGCCTCTATACATCACAACAACAAGGAATTTTAAAGTTTTCATTGAGCAGGCCTTACCTCACTTTTTGACGTAGTCTCCACATCTTTTTTTGGCATTTCTGGTATCATTACAGCAGCTTCTTGATGCCTTCCGCGTAGAACCTTTTGCCTTGACTCAAAAACCAGTCATTGACAGCGATCTGCACTTTCAAATCAGTTGCTTTGCGTAGGGAAATTTTCCCCCAATCCTTCAAACTCTCTTACTTTAGCTTCATGTGACTTTCATTTGTTCCCGAGCGGAAAAACTTCCACAATGGAAGCGATTTTCAACCGATTCAGAGGTACAGATAGCTGTCAATGACTGGTTTCAGAGTCAAGGCGAAAGCTTCTATACGCAGAGGGCATCAAGAGGCTGCTGTAATGATACCAGAAATGTCAAAAAAAGATGTAGAGATTACATTAAAAAGTAAGGTAAGGCATACTCAATGAAAACTTTAAAATTCCTTGTTGATGTGATGTATAGAGGCGATAACCCGAGTCTTCAATAATCGACTCTCCGCGCATCCTGACCCCGGAGGTGGGCACGCGGCGACAGGAGGTTGTCTCAGTAAAATTTAGTTAACTCGCGAATCCTTTGACCGATTTTCGAAAACTTGAGCTTGTTTTAAAGCTTAAAGTATGCCTGTTATGTGATTTTTTACCGATTTGATTTATCTCGTTTCGCTCGGAAGATACAAGGTAGGGAACCTCACTTTTTGGATGACCCTCGTATATTAAGAAAAAGACATCGACGGCGTACGTCCGCAATCACAAATGTATCTCGTTTGTGGTGTCTAAAAATCTCCGGCTCTATGTTATTTTATTAAAGAAGAACAAATTGACATCATTCCTTGAAGTTTCGCACAGAGAAGAAAAATTACCGCAGTTTTAAAGAATTGCCGTTGAGTAGTTTTCCGTTTAAAAAATAAAGTATGACAGGAAGTTTGCGACGTCGTAAACCGAGTTATACCATTGCCGACATGCACCGTCAATATGCTTTGGCAGATATAGAGTTGACTTGTTAAAGTTTTGGATTGGCTTGACCTCAGCAAATAAACCAACAGGCGGGGATCAACAAGTTGCATTCTGATCATAATTGAAGGTGATCCAGAATAAAAAACTTGGATGCTATCCTGGATACATGACTTCAAAAACACTTTTGAAAAAAAAGAAAAAAAATGGGATAACTATTACTTCTTTTGAACCATACTTGTCTTCGTATAGACTTGTAGGAAAACTAAAAATGAGGTCTCATTCTTTCACCTAAATTTTCAAGAGCTCATCTGTGCCATTAGCTATCGTGAAATTTTCAAATTTTGGAAACGCTTTTCTTAAAATCATAAAAATGAGTAAATCCCTTGGTCTGGGACGCACTTCACATACTGTTGGTACACGTATGATTTCAAGTTTAAAGGTCACCTATGCCATAAGCTATCATATAATTTTCAAGCTTTGGAAACGCTTTTTTTGAAATTAAGAAAATCAATAGATCCCTTTGTCTCGGACACACTGTATTTATTGTTGGTAAAAGTAAGTATGATTCACTTACTTCAGCTTTATCAAAATCCTGCAAAAACATTGCAATTTGACCGGCGAAAAACTTCTTATTTTCGTGTGCATTGATGGCTTGCAGAGACAGAACCATTCCATCATCTCCGAGATGCATGTACACTTTGATGGCTAGAAAATAACATATGCAATGATGAATAAACAGCTGTCACTAGTGAAAGAAAAGATTTTTATTAGTTACTAAGTATATTTTTTTTAGCCCATTTTGTTGCATACATTGATGACTTTGTTATTATTTTTTATTTAATTGAGACACATCCCGTTGAGAGTTTAAATAAGTAAATAAATAAAAAATAAATAAATAGTGAATTCCCTGGTGAATCCCAGTTTTCTCGTCATAGACACCATGCCTAAACTCTTTCGTCTTAGTGTTTATGCCGGCGTTTAGCATGCAATGCGTCTGGGAAAAATCAATGATTTGTGAATAAATTTGTCAATCAAATAGGAGATTTGACAGCATTGCGTAGTGGGATGTTGTGTTTACCATTTTCGCGGTCCAGCACGCGCGCATCGCGCCTCACACCAACGATTACTAAGGACTCCAGATACCGCATTGGAATAAAAAACGGCCCCCTAGTTCCCTGCAGCTCCAGGGTAGGCAACCAGTTTGGCGGTATGCTATACTTCGAGCTAACGAATATACCGTTTGCCGTGTGTTTGACCGGTTTCGACGTGGCTGTGCTTAGTTTGGTTGAAAATTCACGGTGTTAAATTTTCTTATGTTTTAAATCGTTAAAAAATGCCAAAAAAAAGAAAAAAAAAAAAAAAAAAAAAAAAATAATGCAAATATCTCTGCTCGATTTTCTGAGTCCATTTACCATGATTAGTGACTAAAATGAACAATTTTCGCAATTTGCCGTTCATAATCTGCACATTCGAAGTGCAATTTCCTATGCACTTCCACCACAGGTGGGCTAAAGTATGGCATACCGCTACACAGGTTGCCTACCCTGGCGCTGCAGGCGCCTGGGGGACCGCTTCTTTCCTACGGCAAGTATACGGCGTGCGGTATCTGGAGTCCTTAGTAATCTTTGCCTCACACCCGCTGCACTCACGTGCGTCGCGGCTGCAAAAGGCCGGCCGGTCAAGCGTGTCATCGTCGGTTCCAGCACCGAAGAGCTCAAGTAAAGCCACGATAAGTACCTCCTCATACTTGCCTCTCTCGCAGGTTCTTCCGCTGACCAGTCGGACCTCCAAGCCTGACCAAGAGCCCTCCACAGCTTACATAACCTCAACACCTCCACGTATTGAGGAGGGGTCTCCTAGCCCCGGCGAGTGCTTCCACGCACTCGGTACTTCCAATCCCACGCCTAACGGAACCAGGGCAAGCCCAGCGAGCTATCGCGCGGGGTTTTCACCGCACCAAGGACCAAGAGAATAAATAAGGACCCTCAACTCCAGTTAGCGACGACGTCAGCGGTGCCTGGCAGAGGGTCTAGTGAACTTAACTGACAATTGGATTCTCCTGTTTATGTTTCCATGCACCATTTATTTAGGCTTATCACTCATTCTCACACTCAGTGCTCATGGAGATTTCTAGATCATCGTGGTCGTTCTGAAGTCCTGAAGAGTTTAGTGTGAAAAGTTTCCCATTTTTATTTCACTCTTAGTAAAAGTTCGGGCACACAACCTGGTATTAATGTGAAAAGTCTTTTCTAACCGTTTTACTCAGCAGCAACTGCTGTTGAGAGAGCAAAAGGAAGTGTGTAAGTAGTGTGTGTGCAGCAGGGTTGTACTTTTAGCCAAAGGCGTTTCTTTGTTAAAGTGAAATCTTTATAGTCAGAAATAGTGTTGTACTGATAAAGATCAGTGCGTGTCATCAACTAATAAAATAGGCAAAGGAAAGAAGTAATAGGAGAAACTGAATACTTTGAGTAAATTTTGTCTGTTTCATCATACAGGGTGTCTCACGAAAAACGAGCCACCTTGAATATCTGCCGAACGCGTCGGAATTTCGAAAAACTGTAAAAGACGTGTTCGTTTGTATCGAGGGGGACACCATTTGGCGTATTCGACATTTTCCCAAACCGCGGGAGGGGCGCGGGGCGGGGGGTGCCCCACCCGTAAGTCGAACTTTTCAAATGGCACCCCTACTTTTTTATTGCAGAAATCAATTTTTCGCAAAAAAAACAAGCCACTCTATCCAAACCGAATGTAAATCGGACAATTTTTCAGTGATTGACAGAGTTTGAAACATTTTTTTCATGCTCTTTTCAAAAATTTCCCACGCCCAATGGAATTGCTGTATCAAACTAAACTCTCCGCCCAAAAAATTCTTAAACATTGCACTTTCGATAAAAAAATCAAAAAAATCTGCTGCACCCGAAATCTAGAGCACGCGGAGCCCTTCTTTGCGACATTAAAATTCGTAATACCGAACATTTCCGAAGAGCGCTCATCGGGAGGGAGTAGTAAGTTTTAGACAAGAATTATTAATCTTTTTTCTGAAGCATAAGAAACCGTGTCCATAAAGAAGCAGTTAAGTAGAAAAACAAATGGATTAGCTTTTTTTAGGGTGGGTGTTAATGACTTGAGCCGGACCTTGATACTTCTGAGGACGCTATTTTTCCGCGGTGCGTTGTTTTTCTACTTAACTGCTTCTTCATGGACACGGTTTCTTATGCTTCAGAAAAAAGATTAATAATTCTTGTCTAAAACTTACTACTCCCTCTCTATGAGCGCCCCTCGGAAATGTTCGGTATAACGAATTTTAATGTCGCAAAGAAGGGTTCCGCGTGCTCCAGATTTCGGGTGCAGCAGATTTTTTTGATTTTTTTTATCGAAAGTGCAATGTTTAAGAATTTTTTTGGCGGAGAGTTTGGTTTGATACAGCAATTCCATTGGGCGTGGGAATTTTTTGGAAAGAGCATAAAAAAATGTTTCAAACTCTTTCAATCACTGAAAAATTGTCCGATTTACATTCGGTTTGGACAGGGTGGCTTGTTTTTTTGCGTAGAATTGATTTCTGAAATAAAAAAGTAGGGAGGCCATTTGAAAAGTTCGACTTACGGGTGGGGCACCCCCCCGCCCCGCGCCCCTCCCGCGGTTTGGGAAAATGTCGAATACGCCAAAAGGTGTCCCCCTCCATATAAACGAACACGTCTTTTACCGTTTTTCGAAATTCCGACGCGTTCGGCAGATATTCAAGGTGGTTCGTTTTTTGTGAGACACCCTGTATATATAAGCTCAGAGACCTCCTAAATATGCGTATCTGGTAACGCTTAGTTCCAGCGTTCTACCGGGCCGATTTTCATGATTTTTGCAGCTATCGACAGGCAAATATGAAAATATGACCCACGTTCTTTTACATTGCATGGTAAAGTTCGAATTCTCCCATTTACACAATGTAATTTTTTATATTTTGTCATAGTTTGTTTGAGCGTTCTACAGGGCCGATTTCCATAATTTTTGCAGTTATCGACAGGTGATAGTCCCTAGATGAGCCCGCTGTGATTAGAATTTGAAAATAGAACCCACGTTTTTTTACATTAGAGGAGAACAGATAGCTTAGAAAGGGGGGCAAAATTTGAAATTCCCGCCGATGAAAAATGGCGGGAATTCCAAATTTAGCGGAAAATTGAAGTAAGCGGGAAATGTTGAATCTTGGTCTGTTAGTAGGGTAAGTGAATCGGAGGTATGCTCCTTTGCTACAGACTATCCAAAAGCGACGAAACGCTCCGTTCCGTTTCGTGTAAGTCTTGGCGTGAAGTTTGAAATAAATGCCGATTTTTTCATTCTATTCTTATTGGTCCAATTGCTCCCGGCCAGAGGAAGATTGAATAAATAGAGTCGGGTATGAAAATCTTCTCATTTTATTTGGCTGTTCTTTTGTCCACGCAGGCCTAAGAGAACGCGTAGCATCCTCTGGGAGTTGGGCTGCAGCCCCCTAGTATTCTAGCACGCTTTCACACAAACATTTGGAGTTGCGGTGACTAGAATTGGAGTTGATTAAAACCACGGCCGTTTGATCTTTGTTTTTAGTCATAAAACTTGGATTAAAGTGACCAAATTTTGGTTTAATTTTACCTAAAATGCAGCAAGAATATTTTGAATAAATAGCGAAAAGCCAACTTTGATGTGACACCGAACACCTTCACTGGAAAACGACGCCTTACTTAATGCTAAATCTGAATAGATAAGCCACAAACGACTTATGGAATTAAGTAAAAGTGCTTAAGAAACAATTACTGAAAGTACAACCATAAAAAAATGTTGATTTAGGGTAAAATTACAGAAAAATCGAGGGAAAAATACCACTTGTTTAGAAACGTTGTATATCAAATCAGCCACTTTGCCGATGCCGATGGTTCGCCTGGAAATCGCATTTCAACTTGAATTTCAACCTCCGATTCGTTTACACAGAATGCAAAAATCTAGTTTCTAGTGTAAAATATGGTTTCAAACAGAAATTTCGGAAACCTACATTTTGTTACGTGCATTTGTGCAGCCTTTTGGCAGAGATGAGTGTGAAGTTGAACACCGATTATTTTGATTCTTGCAAGAGACCTACTTCTCAGTAATAGGAGCCACAAAAAAATCTGAAGCTTCTCAAAGAGTGGTGACCTAACAGGCAGGAAGCACTTAGGTCAGGTTACCCAGGCTTTTGTAATAAATGGAGAAAATTGAAGCCTCGAAACCTTCAGAGTTAATGACAAACTTTTTTAGTAACCAAAGTCAAAGTAATTTTCAAACGTCCACTTCAACAGCTTGGTTCATTTCATATCAAAGGCACTTATAAATTAATTCATTCATTTAGCACTCATTTATTTTCCTCTCTTTACATCATACATTTAGCATTCTACAGATAGACATTTTCCGCTAAAATGGTTCAGAACAGTAATTTTTTAACTTGTTTAGACATCATGGTCGCATAGATCCTTGGTGGAAGTAGAATGATTTCATAGTAACATTCCATAGAATGATTAAATATTCTATCACGGCGCAGAATGGCTGATTTCATCACAGAGGCGTACTTTACAGTAAATAAAAAGTAAAAGAATATTGGCAGGAGGATTGGAGAATACCTGTGTTAATGTCCAGACATCTCAATGCCGTTGCAGCCAACTGTGCCCAACATTCTTTTTTATTGATGAGGTGACAGACATTGAGAGCATCACAGCATCTAATGGCAAAAAAAAACCAAATAAGACCTGAGGGATCACAATAAATCTAGGATATTTTGGAATGCGTTTGATACGGAAGGTATAATTCAGGAAGAAAGAAGTGTTCGTTGTATTTGTCCGCCCTTTTGCATAGGTTTAAGACTTACCTTACCCATGAGTCTCCAAAACACTTCTTCCTGGGATTGTGCTCCGCTCAGCCGACTCTCATAATGGGTCTAGTAGAAAAGGGCTGAAAAAGAGTTGTCCTTGAATAATAATAGGCATCTAAGGGTGGAAAAGGGTATGTAGAGATGCTATCAAAATGACTCGAAGGCGGTGGGAGGGGAAAAAGAACAGTTTTAAGGGAATGAGATGAGGCTGGAAAATCGCGTATTGATGTGAATCAATTAACATAAGTAGGGTCGAAAATGGGGTTTCTTATGAATATACCATCAAGTATCAACAATTCAACGTGCATTTTCAGCCAGAACTAGGGAAATCTATCTTTGAATAACTTCTTTTCACTCTTAAACTAAAAGTTTGAAAATAGCCCCCCCCCCCCCAATCATGTGTCATCATCGTTTGCATCATCATATATATTAACATAAGTCAGGTCATAAATGATTTTTTCGATTAAAATAACATTAGTTTGCGAAGTTTCAACATGAAATGTCTACCAGAACGAGTGCAATCTATCGTTGAGTACCTTTTCTTTTTACCCCCGAAATCATGTGTGTCAACAAATGAAAAGTCAAAAATGAATTCTACGATCAAAATTCCCCAAGGATACCAAGTTTCAACACGAAAGGCCCACAAGAACGACTAAAATTTATTCTTATGTTTCTACAGAAGGTTTGGAAGAACGCGCAAAATTGTGTATTTGCGTCATTATATTAAGAAAAGTAAGGTCAAAAATGAATTTTACGATTTAAATAACATAGGAATGCTTTTGTTTAACACGAAATCCCCATGGGAACGTGTGGAATAGCCGAAACAAGTTGGGTAGTAAGGCGACGACCAAGCATTTCTATGCTTCGTTCCACCGTGCAGTGCCCCAGCATCCTCTGGGTAACGCGGCCACATCCTGGTGTCACCAAGTCCTTTTTATTTCAATACTGAAATAAAAATCACTTTCATTTCAGTATGTGAAGTTTAAAATCGGGGTAAACCCCTGATGGGTTTACTTTTTCAGTTCGTCTTATCTTTTTGCGCTTGGTTCGGTTTGGTGCTTCAAGCTCTCCTAACTGTTGTTCTGTTTGTCTTTCCTTTTCCTTTGAGGTTTCTCCTCTGAGTCTCGTGGTGTAACCATCTGTTTGACCGTTCTACAATGTCAGTACCAAATGGACTACATTTGGCAATTAAGAACCACTAATCCTGGCTCTTTATAGAAACAAAGCATGCACAATTACTTTCCCTATGCAAGGAGATTTCTCCATGAGTAAGTAAGAAATAGTGGTTGGTAATTGCAAAATGCTGTCTAAATGAAACATTCAGACACATGGAAATTAATGGATCTAAAACTTTTGTTATTTAGACGTACAAATCTTGTTATTATAAATAATAATCCAATAATAACAAGCAAATTATGAAAACCGGTTGAAATAAAAGAGAGATTCCAAAAGTAGACTGTCAATAAAGGCACTCTAGGACACTCTACTTTCTATTAGACGAGGATTTCCTATTTGGTTAAGAATGATATTTGTGGGTTGAGCGAAGTTCAGAGATGACACTTTTATCCATTTGATTCCTAAAGAAGCTCCATTGATTCGAAGATTTTTTATAACTCTAATGAAACTATCAGAGGTTTTGTTTGGCATTGACTTCTAAATATTTAACTTATACATTCAAAGCACAATTGAATCCGCTCGTGCGAAAACCGCTAATGTCCATTTTTTTCAATATTGAGATTTTTGGGTTAAAATACTCTCGGAGATCAGACACACTCATTAATGTGGTGGAAATGTTTGTTCCTTAGGTTTGAAGCCCTTTTCAGGGGGGACCGTGGTCCGAATCATGCGAAAACCGCTAATGTCCATCATTCGTTGTATGCCTCATTATACTGTACAACAAACCAAAATGAAAAAATGTCTCCTGGACGAAATTAGGTGATCAATGTGCATTTTAAGGCGCTGAATCCGAATATGACCTCCGTTTCTTTCCATCACCCTCCAATTTTCCGGAAAAGCCGATTTTACTCGGAAAAATGACAATTTTGGGGTATTGTTGGTGTTTTTCCGACTGCTATCCCTGCATAATGTAGATAAAATTTTTCGTAGCTACGAGATTCAATTATACCGATGTCTTTTTAACTGATGAGTCCGGAAATGACCTTAATTTTTCCCGTTCACCTCTCAGTTTTCCGGGAAAGCAACTTTATCCTGGGAAAATGAGCAAATCCGACGCATATTTGTCGTGCATGCAATGTATTTTTATAAATTTTCCTGGACCCGTGGTAGCATGTTACTCATGTATTTTGAGCTGCTAAATCCGAATATTACCTCGGTTTCTTTCTATCACACTTCTCATATCCGGTAAAGCCGAGTTTTCCGAGCCTAAAATTGTGTATTGTAAAAGCTTTGCCGGATCGAAGTGTATTCAAAATTCATTGTATGAGAATGTCTCCGACATGTGATACATCGGTACCTTTGTATTTTGATCTGTTGAATTCAAATATGATCTCAGATTTTTCCGATCACCCATCATTTTCCCGGAAAAGTCGCTTTAGCCGAGTTTTCCGAGCCTAAAATTGTGTATTGTAAAAGCTTTGCCGGATCGAAGTGTATTCAAAATTCATTGTATGAGAATGTCTCCGACATGTGATACATCGGTACCTTTGTATTTTGATCTGTTGAATTCAAATATGATCTCAGATTTTTCCGATCACCCATCATTTTCCCGGAAAAGTCACTTTTCCTAGGAAAACGCTCTTTTCCTAGGAAAACGCTCTTTTCCTAGGAAAACGCTCTTTTCAGATATTTTTGCAATGATTTTTCTGCACTAGGGAGTTTCAGAAATTTTCCGAGATCCTCTTTAGGTCTCTCTTGCTGTATTAAGAGGCACTGAACTTGAATTTGACCTTCACTCATCTTTGACAATACACCCCCCCGTCTTCTAGAAGGTCCCATTTTTCCGGGCCAAAAGCTTTTCCGGACTGTTCCTACTTCCAGGGAAATTCAAAACATTTTCCGCATTTGTGATTCATCGATTCTCATGTAATTTGAGCTGAAAACCCCGAATATGACCTTAGAAATTCGTTATCACCTACCGGAGAATCTCTGAAACTCTCTAGAGCAGAAAAATCATCGCAAAAATATCTGAAAAGAGCGTTTTCCTAGGAAAAGCGAATTTTCCGGAAAAATTATGAGTGATCGGAAAAATCTGAGATCATATTTGAATTCAACAGATCAAAATATACTTCGATCCGGCAAAGCTTTTACAATACACAATTTTAGGCTCGGAAAACTCGGCTTTACCGGAAATTTGAAGCCTGATAGAAAGAGACCGAGGTCATATTCGGATTTAGCAGCTCAAAATACATGAGTAACATGCTACCACGGGTCCAGGAAAATTTATAAAAATATATTGCATGCACGACAAATATGCGTCGGATTTGCTCATTGCTCATTGCTCATGCATCCTGGGATAAAGTTGCTTTCCCGGAAAACTGAGAGGTGAACGGGAGAAATTAAGGTCAATTCCGGACTCATCAGTTAAAAAGACATCGGCATAATTGAATCTCGTAGCTACGAAAAATTTTACCCACATTAAGCAGGGGAAAGCAGTCGGAAAAACACCGAAAATGCCCCAAAATGGTCATTTTTCCCAGTAAAATCAGCTTTTTCGGGAACTTTGAGGGTAATGGGAAATAACGGTCATAATCGGATCGCACATCAAAATACGTAAGGGTAACTTTCTTTACCCGAAAGGCACACTGAAAAACATGCGTTTCCGATGATTTAGAACCGACCATGCACGAATCATGCGAAAACCGCTAATGTCCAGTTTATTGCTAGTCATTTTGTGATGAAACTTGCTTTAAGTGCCGCAATTGTCAAGAATTTTAGTTTTACAACTTTACTTGAATGATAATCTACCGTTTTAATATCTTTAGAATGAATTTTGAAAGTACGAGGGTCATCCAAAAAGTAAGGTTCCCTACCTTGTATCTTCCGAGCGAAACGAGGTAAATCAAATCGGTAAAAAAGCTCTTATCAAGCATACTCTAAGCTTTAAAACAAGCTCAAGTTTTTGAAAATCGGTCAAAGGATTCGCGAGTAAACTTAATTTTACAGGGACAACTTCCTGTCGCCGCGTGCCCACCTCCGGGGTTAGGATGCGCGGAGAGTCGATTATTGAAGACTCGGGTTATCGCCTCTATACATCACATCAATAAGGAATTTTAAAGTTTTCATTGAGTATGCCTTGCCTTACGCTTTGACTCAGTCTCCACATATTTTTTTGACATTTCTGGTATCATTACGGCAGCTTCTTGATGCCCTCCGCGTAGAAGCTTTCGCCTTGACTCTGAAACCTGTCATTGACAGCTTTCTGTACCTCTGAATCGGTTGAAAATCGCTTCCGTCGTGGAAGTTTTTCCGCTCGGGAACAAATGAAAGTCACATGAAGCTAAAGTAAGAGAGTTTGAAGGATTGGGGGAAAATTTCCCTACGCAAAGCAACTGATTTGGAAGTGCAGATCGCTGTCAATGGCTGGTTTTGGAGTCAAGGCGAAAGCTTCTACGCGGAAGGCATCAAGCAGCTGCTGTAATGATACCAGAAATGTCAGAAAAATATGTGGAGACTACGTCAAAAAGTAAGGCAAGGCCTACTCAATGAAAACTTTAAAATTCCTTATTGATGTGATGTATAGAGGCGATAACCCGAGTCTTCAATAATCGACTCTCAGCGCATCCTGCCCCCGGAGGTGGGCACGCGGCGACAGGAAGTTGTCTCTGTAAAATTAAGTTTACTCGCGAATCCTTTGACCGATTTTCAAAAACTTGAGCTTGTTTTAAAGCTTAGAGTATGCTTGATAAGAGCTTTTTTACCGATTTGATTTACCTCGTTTCGCTCGGAAGATACAAGGTAGGGAACCTTACTTTTTGGATGACCCTCGTATCAAACGGTTCCAAAACTCAGAGATTTTCACGAATCATGCGAAAACCGCTAATGTCCAGAGTCTTTTCTTTTTAATTATTCCGTCCCAGACAGAGGAGGAGCTGGAAACTGTTAGGGATTCCTTTTCTACAATCCTCTCCTGTAATAATTAACTTCTGAACATTTTTTAATTCCGCATTTTAAAGGCTCCTTCAGTTTTTTGAAGTTCTCTCAAAATTAGAGGAAATGGACATTAGCGGTTTTCACATGAGCCAATTCAGTTAAATGATCATAAGTCGGATATAAATTTCTTTTGAATAATAAAGAGTTAACAAATCAGAAAAAATGAAAGCCTGAATCAAGCAAACAAAAAATTCAAAAATAAATAATCCAAACTTCTAATCTAATCATTGAGAGTTATGAGGGTAACTTTTAAGGTAACTTTTTCCACATTTCCCTATTCAATACATTGCTATAACTTGCATTTACTCATTTCTAGTTGAAAGCCTTGTGTAATTTAACTAGACACTCAAATGTTTTTTTTTTCAAAAAGAATTTGATATTGCAATCCAGACAAAATTGCAACTAAATATTTACTATACACGAAAGAAAAAAGGTATCAATTAAAAGGAACTAGTTAAACAAGTTAAGAAGAGTTACAAAGGGAAATCAATCCAGTTTTTATGTGAACGTTCTTCAACTAACCTGTACAAAGCTAAATATCTAGCAAGCACACTCTCGAGACCATCAGTGCGATTTTGCTTCAATACAGTATGAGAGAATAGATGGGAGTTTAAAATCAAGTTTGTCAGCTTTCCACCTCCAGAGAGAAGTGTCAAACCTCCGTTGTGCAAAATCAAAGGTAGAAAATTTTGAGATAACTTGGTTGAACTGATTTTACTTATTTCTGCACCTACACAATAAATGAAACAACAGGTAAACAATTTTATCTCTAAAAATAATTCAGTTTTAAAAACTTTAACATGAAAAGAGAAAAGGACTTCATGTGCGAGTTGGAGAGTGTATATACTGAGGCTAATCAAGATATGTTCCGGTAAATAAAAAAATTGTGTTGTTTTTCAAGTGAGAAAGCAACCTAGAGGTCTGTATAAATTTTTCGTGCTCCTTACAAAATGCAAGGCTATGGAAATTTCGATGATGCTCATTTACCTTCAAACTCAGAAACATCGACCCTTACCTCAACAAATGATGTTTAATGGGCATTGGGCAAAGGGTATGGATCTTTTGTAAATACCTCGAGAACGGCCGCACACGTTCACTTATGTTTTGGACGAAACTTCCTTAAATGGACAGCTTTATGCAATAAGGAACTAGGGTCAAATTTTCCATTTTTTTTTTTATGATGCATTCCGTTTCAGGAGGGCATTTACTTACTATTGAGAAAAAGAAAATACTGAAAAACGATTTTTATCCCGCTTCAGCGACCCCGCGAAAATTTGCCGTCGCAGGATCACACGAGGTTCATTTAGCAATTGGGACCTATACTATGGTTCCCTATTGCGTAATGCGAAACTCGGAAATTCGGAATTATAGGCAGGACGACAAAATGCTATCTCGGCATTCACGGCTCCTGTTCGATCGATCTTGCTGATTTTTGGCACAGGGTGATATTTTTAGAAGGAAAACTCAAATTTCTGGTCAAATTTCGAAAAAACATAAATCCAAGATGGCGCATGTGGCCTAAAATGCTATCTCGGCTCCTGTTCGATCGATCATGCTGATTTTCGACATCGGGAGTATTTTTGGACGGGAAACTCGAATTACTGGTCAAATTTTGAAAATTCGAAAATCCAAGATGGCGCATGTGGCCTAATATGCTACCTCGGCTCCTGCTCGATCTATCGTGGTGAGTCTTGGTTGTATTGGGGGTATTTTTGGACGGGAAACTCGAATTCCTAGCCGAGTTTCGAAAAATTGAATTTTTTTCAAATTTTGACAATGAACTTGTTCAGTAATGTTTGATTTTTGCAATTTTTGAGGTATTTACTACGCATGAGCCACGATAATTTTTTCCGATATTTTTCGCATGTCAATCCACGAAAAACAAGTTCGAAGTTGCGTCTTCTGAGCTCCCCTTTAAACGCGTATCTCCGAGGAATGAAAGATCCCCCAGGGGATACTTACTCAAGTAAAGTCATTTTCGACTACATCCACCATCTTGGATTATCGAATTTTTAAAATTTGATCAGAAATTCGAGTTTCCCGTCCAAAAATACTACCAGGTACCAAGACTCACCGCGATAGATCGAGCACGAGCCGAGATAGCATTTTAGGCCACATCCGCCATCCTGGATTTTCGCATTTTCAAAATTTGATCAGAATTTCGAGTTTCCCGTCCAAAAATACCATTTGATACAAAAAATCAGCATCGATCGAACAGGAGCCGAGATAGCATTTTAGACCACATCCGCCATCTTAAATTTTTGAATTTTCAAAATTTGACCAGTAATTCGAGTTTCCCGTCCAAAACTACCCCCCGATGTCGAAATTCAGCATGATCGATCGAACAGGAGCCGAGATAGCATTTTAGGCCACATCCCCAATCTGGGATTTTCGAATTTTCAAAATTTCACGATTCACGGGTTTGTTGACCTATTCAAGGGTTTATCGATCAATTCACGGATTTTTCGAACGAATCACGGGGTTGTCAATCGATTCACGGATTTGTCGATCGATTCGCAGGTTTTTGATCGATTTACGATCGTCAATCGAATCAGTGCCGATCAAATCACGTCAATCGGTTCACGTTCCAACTTTTCGATCGATTCATCTCAGATTCATGACACCGGTTTTTCAAAAATTTGTCGATCGATTCACGCTTTCATTTTTCGATCGATTCATGTCAATCGAATCTATAAACCCTCCCGTCCAAATTGCATGTTAATATTTGCCACCAATCTCGAAATATTAGCAAGTCGGTAGGTATCCATATTTTTGTTAGAATATATCTTTCTGCAGGGACAATGCACCTCCCCCTTCCTGGTATGATGGGAGGAAGGAGTGTTTTCTCTGTTGGGGTTAACTCTCCAGTGTGTAATAGTGACACCAGGGTCGTCTTCCCTATGCAGTCAGTGCTAAAACAATTTATAGTTCCTAATTGCAAAATGAGCTTCCCCGGATTCTTCATTTTGCAATAAGGAACTATAGCCTTTTTTTGTAATTTTAACAATTAGGCATTGTTACTTTTCTTGATTCATCTCATCAGAATGAGAAGATGAATCAAGAAAAGTAACAATGCTTAAGAGAAGAGGAAGCCCAGAGAAGGGCAGTAAGGGACTTTAAACGGAATGAGGGAGCTCGCCAACTTCCTGAGGACCTGTGGGAAAACAGGGCACTATGGCGGTTAGGCGTTGCAGACCGCGAAAGATTGCTGTTAAAGCGGCTCTTATGTATGTATGTAACAATGCAACAGTTCCTCGTTACACTCTGTGTAATTAAATTTGTCCTAAGAATCAATTCCTGAGTCGGGAAACAAGAAATACGCAGAACCAAAACCGCCAAAAGCATCGATTTTGGTACTATTTTTCAGTTTTCCACTGGTCGCGCGTTTTATTTTGCATCCAGAAAACATCGCATCCAGTTTGTTGAAAATTTAGTGAGTTTTAACTTTGGAAATAACCAATTTTGTCGTCAGATCAACCCCTGGAAAGTCACAGGCCATAATTCGCAAAAAAAGCCGATTTGAAGCCATTTTTGCCAAATGGCAACTTTCGGGCAACAATTCCTTGATGAACAGTTAGAGTTCGAATGCAGCGTCAAAAGTTACATTGGAAACCATGGAATTAAGGCTACCCGATGTTTTTGTAGGCTAAAATGTCTATCTGCCTGGGCTCAACAAGCAACGTCACTCCAAAAAGGTGTTCACAAAAATGGCCATATCTTGTGAGCAAAAAATGTCCATGCGAGGTATAATGTATGGATGGATGCGGAATCAAAGGAACCATCGATTCCACAACTTTTTATTCAAATCAAAACAGAGCCCTTTTTTGACAATTGCGGACTTGTAAAAAAGGATGCATATAAAATAAAAAAATTGGCAACAGTGCATGTTAAAATTAATAGGACATCAAAAGTATGAAAATATCTTTAGAGTGGGCAATTTTTAGAGAATTTTCGTTCGAACCGCGACTTCATAGCTTAATTTTAATGTCACTTATGGAATTTTCACGGTTTCAACTTGGCAACGCTATAGCGCGCAGGAAAAATTTTGGGTGAACTTGCTAATGCTGGAAAAAGGCGCGGCTTGTGATAAGAAACAACATATCCAACTCTGGGCAAAATCTNGGGGGGGGGGGGGGGGGGGGGGCAGAATCGCCGATTTTGAATAACCACCTTTTTGGCGCAAAACGCAAGTTGCTGTCTGTCACCATTCCAAAATGACTGCTGGTTGAAGTTAATAATAGCAGCAAAATGATATCTCCGTTATTCATGGGCCAATTTTTATCAAACTTGGTATGCAGGGATTTTTGACACAAAGATAAACAGACATCGGAATTTAAAAAAATTGCATTATTTTGATGACAGCCTCCAAGTCAAAATGTCAAGGGAAAAGTCGAAATCGGAAAAGTGCTATCTCGGTTGTGCACCAGTTGATCCAGATGAGTTTGGGAATGTGGGGGTCTTTAGACACGAGAAAAACGAATCTAACATCAGAATTCAAAAATATTGAAAAATTCTGCCTTTCCGCCATTATAAAGCCCACCATCTTGGATAAAGTGCTATTCTTTTAAATCCTGATGTCAGGCTTGCTTCTTTGTGCCAAAAAAACCCTTTATACAGTTTTATCTACATCAATCCATGAGCAATTGAGACTTTATTTTGCCACCATTTTGAATTTTAACCAGCGGTCATTTTGGAACGGTGATAGATATGGTCTTGCAGTTTGCGCCAAGCATTTTCTTTTCTAATGATTTTACAAATGAGGTATCACAAGATGCGGGTTTCTGTTCGAGATTCAAAAGTTATCCCCGCCCCCATAGGGCGGTTACGACCCCCCTCAAAAAATTTGCCCACTTTTATTGGAGGAAGTTTCGTCGAAACGGCATGTCAACATGTGCAACCCTTCATGAGATACAAGTGTCGACACTTCTTGCCCACCCTGTATTTGGTCTTTACACAATGTCTCAATGATTATGTATTAAAATGGATTATACACTGAAATTGACTTGGGCATATTACCAAACGGAGTGAAAGCAGATTTACTTTTCAGTCAGAACAATTCAGTCGTTTTTTCTACGAACAGATTCTGCTCATTTTACCTCCTAACATATGTGAAAGTAATAGGGTTAAAAAGATATGAAGAAACAGAGGTAATACATTAAAAATATACCATTTATGGTGTCCTTAACATAAACATAAGTGGATATCGAGTTGGAATCACCAATGATGAAAATTTCTCCGACTTCTTGCCTAAAGTTATCCCACAAAATTTTGGTGCTGCCTGATGAAACAGATGGAATTGCAAGGACGGTGTCAGTCATCTGGAATAGAGATGAGAAAGAATTGAGGTGGGATTCTGAGAATGGGATGTCTTCCAATATAATGAAATCCTGAGAACTCAACATTCTTCCATTCCATTCAGTTCTGGCCTGAAGCCATATTGCTGTTATGTCTTAGAAATATGGAGTTTTAGATTAGTGAGTTCACTCTTATGGCCTCATTCAGTGTTATTTTTTGCCAGGTTATTGCAAGGAGCTACAAATCAATTTTCGCTTGTTTTGAAGCGACAAATTGATTCCATCCAGTTTCAATTTCTCGTGTTTGACATTAGGGTCAAATTAGTCAATTAGAGTCCCATTTAGGCAATTTGAGGATAATTATTATATTATTGTTATTAAATCACGTGAATTTCTATTCTATCCTGGTCTGAGCATACAGATTAACTCTTAACAAGACCCCTTCCCCAATTCATGAAGCTCAATATGAACATGTGCACTTCAACCCTCGATTTTTGGGAATTTCCAATCCGAAATAAATAATAATTGAGGAGTGCCTAAATGGACACAACTGGGAAAGAAATGTAGCTACAAGATTGAAGGGGAATAAACCAGATTCTCTTAGTCCCCAAAAGAGGTTCATTGGTAAAACTTAAGCTGTGGTAGCAGCATCCATAGAATAAGTTATAAATCTTCCTTGCACCAGAACGGGCCCACAGTCACAATCAGACCTCAGTGCAGTGCGGACCTCTATCAGTTAGCGCTCTCTTATCTGATTTTGTCCATCTGATAAACCTCTCTCAGCTCAATCTCACAGTGTTGAACAATTAGTGCTTTTAATGGGCATTATGCCCTAAGTTTCTGTGCAATTTGTTGCCACACTCAGAGTGGCAACATGTGTGATCAGGTGATAAAGCCTGGAATTCAGACTAAACAACAACCACACCTTTCTGTAGAAAACAAACGACAGGAACAAAAAACAAATGATGAGGTATTTCCAACTTCAGAAAACCCACACTTTCAAACCTCTGCTGTCTCTTTAATTGCTAATCTGAGACAAGCATGCAAAAATCCAATCCAAGCCACAGATGATAAATCTAGAGGCAGTGTTATGTTGCTAAAATCCTCCGCAGCCCATGTTGTCAATGTTTTCGAAAAGTTAAAATCTGAAAACGACAATTATAAAAAAACTATTGATGGACTCACCAAACGTTTAAGTGCGGTTGAAAACCAACTTACAATCATCCCAGCCAAAAATAGAGTCCCTTTATACCCAGAGTTACGACAACTCACTTTTGGTTGGGCCAGGATTGAGCTGAAAGTGGCCTAAAAAAAAATCCAACTCTGATTGGTTCTCGCTCATGGAGGCCGAAACGAGTGCATCAAGATGGCGGTACCTCGAATGTGAACAAGAATAATGAAAATATTACCTAATTGTGGTTTATCAAGAGTAAATTGTTATTTCCATAGGTCCAAAATGAAAATAGATTAAGAAATTATTCACAAACCAATCTCATTTTCGTTTTAATTGATCAATTTGTTGATGTTGTTGTTTTTGTGTGACAGACATCGCAGGATTCCTGATCCTTATCCCTCAATATCGTTCGTTTGGGTGCACTCGTTTCGGCTTCCATGGCCAGCCAAGGACGGCTGCCAGTCAGCTGATAATCGAGTTGTCGTAACTCTGGGTATAAAGGGACTCTAGCCAAAAAAAGAACCAAAACCTCTCATTTAAATAAACCTAGTGTCAGCAAATGTCAAACAAATGAGGTAATTCAAAACTCCTCTGGAAAATTTGACATCTTGGCTGAAAAATCAAATGAAGATGAAGAGATGTCCTTTGAAGAGGAAAACTCCTCAAGCTTAGACTCAGAAGAAAAAATAATCAAGGAGGAAACAGGATGGATCACAGTCGACTACAAGAAAAATCCAAAGAAGAAACGTTCAAAACCGATATCTGTCTCCTCAACCTCCGAAGATGACATCTCAGACCCGGAATACAGGAGCCGAAGGAAAATCTTCAGGAAAACTAGAGCCCAAACATCAAACGGAACCAACAACAAAACAACAACAGCCGGAGACTCCTCTAAAAAAGATAAGTCTTCTGTTAATAATAATATTAATAATTTTACAAACAATTCTAAAAACAAATCTCCCAAGGACAACCCTAAAAGTAACAATGTTAAACCTTTACCCCCTCCCCCTATCAAAGTCATAGGAATTAACTCAATGGAAAACATTAAAAAAATCCTTAAATCTGCTTCTGAAAAAGAAGAATATGTCATCCGTTTCCTCAGCAATGAGATGTGGAAAATTAACCCACTTACGGAAACAGCATACAGAAGCATCACTGCAGAGCTAAATAAAAATAACTTACAATGGTACTCCCATGCAGATAAAAACAATAGAAACATTAAAGTAATGTGCAGAGGTCTCCCATCTACTCTTGACCCTGAGGAAGTCATTCAAGATTTAAAGGATAAAAATTTTAAAATTATTTCAGCTGTTTGCATGCAAAAAAAAAGTCGAAATTAAAAATAAAACCAAAACACAAGAAAATTTAGAGGAAAAAAAACATCCCTGAAAACCAAGACCCTAAAAAAAATTCCCAAGAAACTCCAAAAACAATTAAAAAATACGAGCTTGTAAAAATTCCCATCTTTCAACTTGATTTGGAACATAACGAATCTGCAAATAAAATTTATTACATTGAAGCCATACTACATACAATAGTTAAAATAGAACCGATTAAAATCAACCCTAAAAGAATCCCCCAGTGTAAACGCTGTTGTGGCTATTTCCACACAGCTAACTTTTGTCAAAAGCACCCCCGATGTGTAAAATGTGCAGGCAAGCACTTTTCACCCGAATGTGAGTATAAAGGGACCATTGCCAACCCAAAATGTGTAAACTGCGGTATTATAGGTCACCCAGCAAGTTACAGAGGTTGTCCCCTAGCAAAGGAGCTTCAAAACACTAGAAAGAAACAATTAAAACTTAAAAAGCAAAATTCAACCCCCCTCAAGTTAAAAAATCTAGCGTCAATAACCCTCCAACAAAGAAACTAGACAAAACGTTTGCTCAAGCCGCAAAAGGCAGCTCTGAACCTTCAGAAAGATTAATCGAAATGCTCTTAAAAACGATTGAAAGTCTTAACGAGCAAATTACAATTTTAAATAGTAAAATAAGTAAATTAGAAACATCAAGTAGAAAATGAAAAAAGTTTAATAATTTTAGTTTGTTTAGTTTTATTTAGTTTGTTAATTTTCTCTGTTTTTCTATGTATTTTCTATCTATGTCTTTTTGTAATAACAACATAAATGTCTTTTTCAAATAACTCTAATGAAAATTTATCATTTTCAGATCAAATTAATGGTGACATTGACTTTGACGATGTTATCAATCTCAAATCGCGTGCCAAAGCGGAAGCATTGACACTAATAGCCTGGAACTGCGGAGGTCTGACACGTACAAAGGCCGAGGAACTCAACGTGACGCTGAGAGATTTCGGTGTGGATATCGCCCTCATTTCAGAAACATGGTTCACCAGGAGTGACTTCACGAGATTTTTCGAAGGGTATAAAATGTATAATGCACTGCAACCCTCCAACAAACGTAGAGGCGGCTCTTCAATTCTAGTCAAAAATAATCTAGAACATAATTTAATTAAAATCATTCAAACTGATTTATTCCACACTGTAGTCATTCAACTACAGACGGATATTGGAATTTTCAATGTAGCATCTATTTATGCCCCACCAAATAACCTCATCTCAGCCCAAAATTTCCTTGACCTTTTCGGGGAGCTGGGACAGTCTTTCTTATTGGGAGGGGACTTCAATTCCAAAGATCCAATATGGGAGTCTAGAATAACAAATCCAAAAGGGGAAAACCTTTTTGAAGCAGTTAAAAAAATAGACGGTAACTTTATCTCACCAGGAAAACCCACGAACTTCCCATACAACAAAAAACATAAACCGGACATTATAGATTTCTTTGTTTTCAAAAACATTGAACTGATAAACAAAACAACTTGTGACACCTTACAATCACCCATAACAGGTCACGCAAAAATCAGTTTAACCATTCATTTAAATCCAATACTCATAAATAAACCCCCAGCCATTTGTTCAAAAAAAACAAATTGGACAAAATTTAGACAAGATTTAGAAAGTATGATTTCAAACAGCTCTAAAATAGATTCCCCTGAAGATATAGACAAAGAAACAGAAAACTTAGTAAACCAAATTCAGCTCTGTGCAAAAAACAATACTCCCATAGCCGTCAATAACTTAAGACCTTATGAAATTCCAAAAAGTCTATTAAAAATGATCCGCTACAAAAGAAAAATTCAAAGAAAATTCCATGTCTCTCAAAATCCAGAGGATAAAGCTCACTTCAATAGACTAAACAAATTAGTTAGAAAGCATGCTCAAACCTTCCTAAACAATAAATTTGAAAGATTTCTTCTCTCCCTTTCCGATAAAAAAGACAAAGATTATACATTACGGGCAGCAACCAAATATTTAAAAAGACCCAAACAACTCAGTTTCCCGATCAGGAAAAAGGATGGAACCTGGGCAGAAACTAATAGTGATAAAGCGGAAATCCTTGCAGATCATTTTGAGAATTCTTTTAAACCTCACGAGAACCTTGAAAATGAATCTGAAAATGAAACCGAAAAGGAGAGAGATGTGTCCACACCGAAGTCTCATAAAATCAAGAAAATACCGCCAACCAAAATTAAAACCATTACCCCCTCAGAAGTCAAAAGGGAAATTTTGGGGAAAATAAAAGCCAAAAAAGCCCCGGGTTTCGACAATATTTCAGGATTAATTTTAAAAAATTTGCCATCCAAGGCCATAATGAAATTGGTGTGCATTTACAACGCAGTTATCAGAAACAAATATATTCCGCAACAATGGAAGATTGCGGAAATCTTTGTCCTTCTGAAACCAGATAAAATTCCCTCAGATCCTAGTTCCTTTAGACCCATTTCGCTTTTGCCAGTCATAGGAAAACTCTTTGAGAAACTATATATCAAA